TGAAGCCCAGCCAGGAGAATGTTATCCCGGTTTCAGGACCAGGAAAAGCTGCGTAACTGATCTGTTTTTATCTCCTGGTCAGGAGACTCCAGTGACCACTTGCGTTTTCCTCTTTGTTTTGGCTATTGGGAAGCTCTGACAAGTTTCTGGTCCCATCTTCAGAAAGGACATCAGACCTGCAGTCAGCCCGTCTCTGGGAACTACACACATCCTACAAGATAGGTTCAGACATTGCTGATATTATCTGCGTTTCTAATCAGTGTCATCTCCTAACCTTTGTTTTATTATCTACTAATCTCATGTTTATTACATATTTTCAAGAACTTTTCAAATGAATTATAGAACAGAGGCTATGTGAGACAAGAAATGTTTTTGTTTTGTTTTGTTTTTGGAGCACACCTGGCAGTGCTCAGGGCTTACATGTGGCTCTGTGTTCTAGGACCACTCCTGGTTGACTGTATGCAGTGTTGCGCATTGAACTCAGGTTCAATCCACATGCAAGACAAATGCCTTAATTTCTGTATTATCTCTCTGTCCCCTGAGGCAAGCAATTTTTCAAAAGCACCAAATAATAAGGCTAAAAGCAATTTTTTAAAAGCACTAGAAATCAGAGCTAATTTTTTTTTGGGGGGGTGGGTTTTGAGTTTTGGGTGATGCACAGGGATTACTCCTGGCTCATGCACTCAGGAATCACTCCTGGTGGTGTCACGGGACCATATGGGATGCTGGGAATCGAACTTGGGTCGGCCACGTGCAAGGCAAACACTCTACCCGCTGTGCTATCACTCCAGCCCCAAGAGCGAATTTCTTTAACAGAAAAATGACTAGCATTGTCCTGGGCACTAAGCCTATCTTATTTACTCTAAGTATGTATTATGCTTGCAGATGAGAAGGTAGAGTCACAAAAAGATTAAATCATTTGTCTAAGAAAATCCAACTAAGCAATGAAAGTGAAATTGAAACCCAGCTACTTTGAATTACACAAATTATACAAGAGAATCAATGTTTAACTTCTAAAAGGAATTCCACATTACTAAAAGAGATTTTTTTAAATTTTGGTAGGCTGAGTTGAGCATCCTTCAGCCTTAAAGATGCTTTCAAATAAACATCATGTCTGGTGACTTATATCAATAGAGGGAAATGGGAATATAAAAGTAAAAATAAAACAAAAATGGAAAGTCCAAAAGCAATTGACTTTTGGTCCTGGAACATAAGATATATATTCATTTGTTGCCTCACTCATTCATTCAGTCTCTGCCGGATGCCCTGCAGGCCTAGGGGCTGGGATCAGAGAAGAATCAGACATATGGTCTTGTCTCTAGGTCAAGGACAAAAACAAGCATCAGGCCAGTGCAGGGCACTGAAGAGTGATAAGCGGCCTGAGTCAAGGCCAGAACTTGGCATGACATGGGCTTCAGAGAGTGTGGCAACCCTGCGCCTCTCACCCATCTGATAACAGGAGTTAGAAGAAACAGCTCCTTCTGGGCAGCCGGGAGGATCTTCAGCCGGAAAGTTCTTGGCTTAGTCCAACACACCAAGTGCTCAGTGTGTGTGTACGTCCAGAGCTTCTGGCACAGGGGGCGGCTCTGGCACACATGCACTGCCATGGGGACACGTGTCCTCAAAGGCTCAGGAACACAGGCTGGCTATTGCCTTCACTGACCCATCCCGGGAGCTGACTGGCTAACCCGCAGTCCACAGGCAGGGCTGGCACTCCTTCCTGGATGCCACTATCTCTACCCAATTGCTCTCTGGAACACATCAGGATGAATATTCTTTCAAGCTGCACCTGCAAATCTCCTCCGTGGCGTCTATCCCATAGAATGCCGGGCACCTTGGCTGCCTTGACTCTGCTCACTTGACCTCATTGGCTGTGAGCAAGACAGCTCACTGCCCGCTTTCTGCTACCTCACAGGTCAGGTTCCTCCTTGAACGGGTCTAAGGAAAGACAAGACCAGAACTGCAAAGGGGGAGTTTCAAGGGTGTCACCATGAGACACCTGTTTGATATCAGCTGGGCACGTCACTGCTCAATCAGGTGCCGTGGCTCAAGAAGAAATGAATCATTTCCTCACCAACCCCCACTCAAACTTAATAGATCCCCTCAACGTTTGTTTTGTCATTCTATCAGCAAAGTCAGTCAAACATTACAATTCCTTTCTAAATATTCCAGCAGCCAGATGACAGGAACGCTGCCATGACAAGGCAAAACTCGCCTAAAGATAACTTCGTGATGCACGGTCGTGCCAACCAGCACCATCATAGCATACTCACCCCGACACACTGCTCTAGCTGCTCTCCCATCTCCCGGGCTCCTCAAACCCAAACTTTATAAACACACAGCTCTGTAAGATAAAACCGGTTGCTAAGACAAACACCTTATTTACTTTTCTAAGTTCTGAATTTGGAGTCCAAGGTCATTAGAGGATCACACATCAGGATAGATGTCTCAAGGTTTGTCTGTCTACAGAATTGTTATTGGGTTCTCACGATGTCAAAATTTCTGCATCAAAATTTAGCATATATTGATGATGTGCTAGAAGATATATCCCCTTCTTCCTGCTGAGTTATTTTGTAGGTTTTTTTTTTTAACATTTAACTTTCTGCTGATAAGTTAAATTAAATACATTCTAGAAAATAGGAAACATTGGCTATTCCTTCCAGGATCCCCTTTAGAATGAAAAATATTTGATCCCCAATCTTTCCTGGGTCATAATTTTTCCATTCTTTATGTGTGAGTGTTTGAATAAAAGCAGAATGTACGATATGGTTTCTGAACAATAAATCTAAAAAAAGTGTCGCCAAGCTGGGCCAGCTGGTTTTCTCCTGTTCCTAAAACTGCATGTTCTTAGACACACACACTTCCTCCATCCCTTCTGTTGCTGGCGGTGACACGATCTTACACTCACAATTACATGAAGACAATCGAAACTCCTGGAAAGGAATGAAAAGATGGAGCGGCAGGAAGCCAGCTCCACGTTTCTGTCATCCTACTGGCCCCACACAGTTTCAGGTGGCTGGAGAACTCATGGAATTATGGAATGTGAAGTCTGTGTGCCATTCATTTCTCTCAAGTTGCCCGAAAATAAAGAAAACCTCTTTATTTTCTATTCTCTAAGAAGGTGCAACAATCTCTCCTTAGAGAATGCATGGAAAGGCGTTTGACAAGGCTTTCTCAGAATATCTCTTATTCTTGTTATTTCTCAACACATTGTTTTTTAAAAAATAATATTTTGGGGCCACACCTGGCAGTGCTCAAGGCTTACTACTCCTGGTTCCTGACTCTGTGTTCAGGGATCACTCTTGGCTCTGGTCTTAGGATTCCTTCCTGGCAGTGATGGGGGGAAAAGGGGGTAGCTTGGACAGCGCGATGAGTCAGACTGGGATTGGTCCCATGCAAGGCAAAGCACCTTAACCTCTGTACCATCTCTCAGACCTTCCTATTATCTCTCCCCTTTTTTCCCTATGCCCCTCCTTGCCCCCTCCCCCCCTCCAGCGCCACCTTTTTTTCCTTTCTGATTTGGTTTTTGTGGTTTTAAAAATACATCTCTAAGAGGCATTGGCTGGAAAACAGCACTCATCTGTAGCACCTCACAGGGTTTGAGCATTAAAATTTGATTTACTTTTCTATGGAGTTAAGACTTGCACAAGCCAAATGCACAGATCTCGGGGGACATCTTTTATTTTTTTTTAATGGGCCCACGGCTGTAAACACTGCTTAGGTGATTGGGGCACATCCAGCACCCCACTCACTTCCCTCATACTCTGCCCACCAGATCGTAAGATCCCAAAGCCACGCTTTCCCTTCTAGCCTCTCCTGTCCAGATTAGCGTTGGCTGAAGTTCAAAGCTGTTGGAGAAGGTTGCAGTGCCAGCGACCACTGCCATGCCGACCCATCACTGTCCACCCGTGCCCACCCACAGAGACAAAAGGCTCTGCACAGAAGCAGAGGAGAGGGAACTTTATAAGGGTTGGGGCCGGGGGGGGGGGGGGGAACAAGGCTCTTCTTGGGCACCCCTATCTCCTTCTACCGCAAAGAGGGAAGTGATTGGCGCAGTAACTTTCCTTCCCAAAGCAGCGGATCACACAGCCCCTGGAGGGGCAGGAGGCTGCCCGCGCGCCTGGCCTCACGGCAGAGCGGCTTTCCAGGGCGCAGCGCCCCGGGAGGCCCTCCGGGGGCTCGCCGCTGGCACACCCACGCGGCTGGCACAAGGTGCTCAAAAGACTCCGTTCCTGCGAGCCAACGTCTGGCTGCCCAGCGGGGCGGGCTGGGCTTCCCCGGAGACCCGGAGTCCCTTTTTCCAGACGCCCCTGGTATGCATGACCCGAGTTGGGGGGTGTGAAGGCTCTGCCGCTTTCTCCCTGCCTCCCCTCAAAGACTTAAAAGCCCGTTCGAGGTGCGAAGGCAATAGAAGGAAGGGTGCAGTCAGGCTGCTTTGGACAGGAGGACTGGGAGAGCGCGCGCGTCAGCTGGAGCTGGAGCTGTGTGACCTTGGACCAGTCACTTGCCATCTCTGTGCTCAGCTTCCTTCCTGGGGACGGCTTCTGTAGCCGCCCCTCGCCCCCTCCAGACCTCATCCAGCTCTGCAATGTCCTAGTTTTTCTCTCCTCCACCCCAACTCTGTCCGCAGCAGCCCCCTCCTCAGAGAGACCCCAAGTCTTTTGTTCTGGGGGTGAAGCGGGGAGAGCAAACACAAGAGCACGTCTCCGAGAGCGAGCAGATCCGGGCGGCTGGGGCTGCAGGGTGGTGCCCGGGGGTGGGGGCGCCCACCGGGGAGGAGCAGGTCCGGGGAAGTCACCGGGCGGTCCCGGGTGACCGCGCTGCCCCCGCGATCCGTCCGGGCCTTCTTCCCGGGAGGCTAAGAAAGCGCAGCGCCCCAGTGGATCCCTGGCCGCCTCGAGCGCGCACCCGGATCGCGGCTACTCCGCCCGAATCGCGACCCCCCTGGCACCCGATTCCATCCCTCTCCCCTTTCAGGCACCGATCGCGGCCAGCGCTACCTGTCGCCAACCGGACCGGACTGGAGCTCAGGTCGCGGTCCCTGGAGCAGGCGCCTCCGGGCGGTGTGCGCGGCGCGGGGGCGCTGGGAGCCACGGTCGGACCCGCGGGGAGCGCTGCGCTGGGTGGGCTCTGCGCCGGGGGCTGTCCCGGGTGGGCGCTGCGTTGGGTGCTGCTCTGGGTGCCGCCGCGCCGGGTGCTGCGCGCGGGGCGCCCGCCTGCTCTCCGGTGCTGCCGGGACGGGAGGCGGGGCCGCCGCCCCCACCTGCTCCGCAGGCTCCTGCCCGCGCGCCGGGACGTGGCCCGGGTGGGCGGGGTCGCTCGGGCACCCGGAGGCGGGTCCCGGGGCGCCGGCCGCCTACGCAGTCCCGCGGGCGAGTCAGCGACTGGTCCCCAGGCCGAAGTTCCCCCAGCTAGGAGGAGGCAGAGGCGGCTCGGAGCCCAGCCGCTTGGGGGACTGTCACCCCTTTCCCCGCCTTTGACAATTCATTGCAAAATTTGTTTTAGAGACTTTTGATGTGCCCGAGCGGCGGGGACAAAAGAGAACGGGACTGTCGCTTCGTGCCTTCGGAGAGTTCGGAGTCTAGAAAGGCCAACAGGCTGCGAGCGTTTGCAGGCCGGACCGAGAGCGGGAGGGGGATAGAGGACCCCGGTGCAGACCCAGGAGAGCCGGGGACCGCTCCCGGGAGCTGCTGTCCCGAGCCGGCAAGAGGCCAAGGCAGTCCGGGAAACCGAGGCCCGGGTGCGTGCCCAAGCAGCGGGCGGGAGTCCAGACCCCGATAAGCTTCAGCTGCAAGCCCCTGCCTGGAGGGAGCCGCAAGTCTGGCGCGAGGCTGGGGGTGTTCTCCGAGGCTCAGGGGATTCTCCCGCTACTGGGCATTTCTGCGGTGCTCAGGGGCTAGTGGGGACCTGCAGCGCGGAGCAGAGGACAGTGGCCTCAGCACCGCGAGGGGCGCACACGGGGATGACAGGTGGTGCCCAGTCCAGATTCCGTAACCCGTACTGTCCAAATACTTGCCCAAGCCGTAACTGGTTGCCTAATTAATCACGTTAATGGCCTGATCACATGTTGGTTTCTGTTCATAGCAAGGATAAAGATTCCCCCACCCCCTCGCTCCTTTGCGGGTGTGTCTGGATTAAGGTGGGGAAGGATTTGTGGGTAATCAGAAGAAGCAAACAAAGGCACTTGACCTGGGGTTCCCCCACTTTTCCCTCTTCTAGATCACTCATAAATGATCCTGAGTATGAAAGAGCTGAACTTCCAACTCAGAAACCCGTTTGCCAGGGCCAGCACGACTTCAAGCTATAGAAACACAAAGTTCCCCTCCCACAGCCTCACCCACCAGCCCAGCTCTTCTGATTCACACCCATTCTCTGAGGAGATGGAAGCCAAGCAACTAAAATTCATAGTCACACTGGGTCGGCCTGGGGGGGGGGGTGTCAAGCTCCCTCCCTGCAGAAAGCCCAGAAACTGAACCCCACCCACCTCTTTAGTCAGCAAATGGTTCAATCCAGGGCTTCACCAATAATCTCTGCAGAGACGCCAAACCTCGAAAATTCTAGGAGCTCCGGTCTCCCAGCTGAAAACTCTGGGGTCTTCTCGTGTGAGGACAGACAGCCTTCTTCTAACCCACCTGGTACTTAGGGGTCCCAGCAACCGCTGCCATGTCAACTCATCTGCCCAGTTCTACCCATCCTGAAGTTTCTGCTGCACAACACCCCCAATTTCAACAATACTGAAATTCCATTTGGAGCACACAAAATGATGGGAAAGTAACACAAGAAACCAACTAAACTCAAACAAAAAACAGTAACAGAGAAGGCTCCCAACAGCTTAGTAATCCTCAGACAAGAACTTAACCCAATGGTGAAATACAACAATTTTCATTCACTGAAGTAATTTTGATAATTCTATTAGCCATTTGAAATGATGGCCCTCCCGTTGTTCGTCGATTTGCTCGAGCGGGCCCAGTAACGTCTCCTTGGAGACTTTGTTGTTACTGTGTCTGGAATATCGAATACTCTCGGTAGCTTGCCGGGCTCTCCGAGAGGGGCGGAGGAATCGAACTCGGGTCGGCCATGTTGGCCGCTTGTAAGGCGAATGCCCTATAAAATAAATTATTGTGTGCCTGCTAAGGTGACAGGCTTGGGGAGTGGTTGGAAAAAATGAGGATAATGTGGAAGGAAGGTCACTCTGGTGGTGGGACTGGTGTTGGAACCACGAAAGCCTTTATCAACTGTTTTATGAACAATATTGTATACTACTGTGTTTAAATGAAGTATTTTGTGTTTAAAAAAGAGACACATGACTCAGACTCCCTTTCCGGATTCCTAATACTTATTTTCTCGAGATACGCAACTACTGGTTTTATAATTAAAAAAAAGAAAAGGAAAGAAAAGGTAAATGATAATGAAGACATCTCCAGAAGCTCAAGGAGTTCTTTATTAGGTTTGGTGCTGAATCGTCCAATCAGGAACACATAAAAAGATTGTTATTTAACTTAAGAGCAAGGTGTGTGCAGACTTCATTTAAATGATGTGTGCATAAATGGGACAAGGATGGGAAGGGACAAGGAAATGATGCATGAAGAAACTATTTGCAAAGTGCAGGTATCAACACTGGAAGCTTCCAATGCTTTTCCAGGTAGCTGATTGTCATTTAGAAGCAGATAGAAGTCACCTGACCTTCACCCCTTCCTTCCCTGTTTAGACTATCTAGATTCTTAATTGATCCATGACTGAAATGACAATTCCACTGCCAATTTTCCAGCCTTCTTGCGGCAAAGAAAATCATGTGGGGATTTCTGACAAATCATTATCCTGCTCTCACTTTTTATTACCCACTTTTTTTATACCTTCAATGCAGATGAGTTGCCAGCACTGTTACAGCCAGACATAAGCCACAAGACAGGGAACATGAAGCCAGAAGGCCAATAGAATCAGGAGGACTGATTAGAAATAACTGTCTGTGTGGGATTGCTGGACATTTGAACCAAAGCCAGCTCTGCCTATTGCTGAACTTGTAGTTATGTGAGGAAAACAGTCCCTGTTTGTTTAAGCCTCTGGGCTGGGAGTTTTATTGGCCATATTGTGGCCAAATGCATTCATCACTGAGACAAAGACCTGGTAAAGGGCATCTTTTTCTCCTCCTTCTTGGGTTCACCAAAAGCTCACAGGAGCCCACTTTCACATATTCTATGCGTAAAAGTGTATTTTTATCTGGGTGACATTGTGAGTTCTCCAGAAGAAAGACACCGTAGAGATCAGAAGTGTTAGGGTTTTCCCCCCCATGTCTCCACATCAATTCCTCAAGGATTTATAGAGCAGTTATTAGATAACATACTGGTACTGGAGGAGCAAAAATGAGTTCTTTCTCCAGTGAGGGAACAGTTTGCTAAAAGATACAAGCTTGTAAATAGAGTATTTGAATTCCATGTTAGAGAGGAGTTTGTCTTACATGCAGAGGCAATACAGAAGAAGAAATGGTGGACTGGTGTGCAGGAGGGAAACATAATACAGAAACTGGACAAGAACCCAAAAATACAAGAGCAAGACATGAATTGGAGGGACTCTCATCAGATTCTGGCAAACAGAAGTGAAAATTCTGGTTGACTAGATGCTCAAGCTCAGTATATCCACACCTCTGAAAGTGCACTCATGGTCCTCCTCCAAATAGGATCTCTTCTGGCATTGCCCATTTACCTATCCATCCAGCTGATTCCTCATATCCTTTCCCTCATCCCTCCTTCCCCTGGTGTTCTCACCTTTAGGTCTGTCAGATGCTGCTCATATATGCTGTGGCCACCCAATACCCATCAACAGAGCTTGTCACTCCACCTCTGCACGTCCCCATCATTTCTTAGATGGTCCTTCTCCAGCTGCTGCTTCTCTATTCCCAACCGTTTCCCACAATGTGACTGGAGAGACCTTCTTGAACCCAGCAGATGGTCTTATTAATTCCCAATACCTGTTGTTTACTAATTTCCCTTTGCTCTGATGATGATAATCAAGAAAATTTTGGATTTGTCTGAAGGCTCTCAGATTCCCCAAACACATCATGCTTATTCCATTTTTTTTTAAACTTCCCTGCTCTAGCCATGGTGATCAGATCCTTGAACAGGTAGCATTCTTTCCTGTTACAGGGCCTTTTCACATGCTCCTCATTCTTTAAAGAGAAATCCTCCCAGTAAAATTTCCAGCTAAAATGCCATAATGTTCCTGGATCTTAACAAAATCAACTCCTCTTATTCAGGCTCTCAGTACCTCACATGATTTTCTTTTGCAGAATTTATTAGAGTTGCAATAATGGCATTTTTAGTTGATACTCTAATTAAACAAACTATCCCTCAGATTATAATGTGGGATCTGGGGCCCCAGAACATTTTCCTTTATCCACTGTCCCCTTGTCTTATAGCATGGAGACTAACACATTATAGACACTAAGTACATATTATTTGAGTTATATAAGAAATGAACAGATGAGGATTGGCATCTTGAACTATGTATTTGAAAGCCCAAACATTTTCTTACTTTTAAAATAAAACTTATTAAGATATTATTTATCATGATAAAATGCACTATTTTATTAAACTTCAATAGTAAAATTTAATAAATATTAACAAATGTATACTCTGATGTTGCTACATCAACATCCAGACTATTTCTATCACCCCCAAAGTGTCTTTGTTCCTCTTTGCAGGGGTCCCTGTCCCCGGCAACCACAGATCTGTTGTTTCTCAGTTTTCACTTTTTAAGAATTTGTCCACTAGAATCATGGACAATAGGCTCCTTTGTGTCTGAATTCTTTCACCCAGCATAATGTATTTGAGTTTCCTCCATGTGTTATCTTACTTTGTTGCTTTTTACTGCTGATTAATATCTGTTCATGTATTGATAGTAATTAATGGGGATGTTTCCAGTTTTTGATTGCTGCAAATAAAACTGCTTAGACATTGTATACAAGACTTTTTGCAGGATAAATATTTTAATGACTTTTGGGTGAGTACACAGGATAACAATTTTAAGAATAAATTATCATTCAAAATAAAACCTTGAAGACTGAAGATACAGCTCTAGGGGTTGAGCGCATGCTTTGCATGCAGGGGGCTGGGAGTTGAGCACAGTTCTTT